TCTGTATGTGGACGTGATTTCTGAAAAGACAAGTGTAACAGCAGGTTCTGTAAAATAAAGTTGGTGTTGGGTGCAGTGAACCTTGTTCTATTGTATCGTGGCTCGAGGTCTCCTCCACGGATGAATACTCTATCTGGACGGGATTTCTGACCACGGAATAGGAAGGGTTCCGAAGCTGGGAACAGCAATGAAGCAAGCTGAAAACATTCGGGATAATCTGCAAACCAAAACCTTCGAGCACACCGAACCCCATGTTGCCGCTTCCTTATGAGGGTAACCAGAACTTCAACCCTCCCTGGCGCCTTGACGCCTAGAATTTTCACTACTGCGCATCAAGTGAATTCTCTTTTCTTTACTTTATTACTGTCTCATCTCTTATCTCCTTCTCTCCTGTCTACATCATCATTCTCCTATCCCTTTCATTTCTTCCGTGCTTTGGCAGCTCCGCACCCCCTTCCTTCCAAACTCTCCTTTGCGTTAAAATTGTTCCTCGTTCCTTCAATGTCCTTCTCTCCCTTCTCCCTTATTCATCTTCCTAACCTTTCATTTGTCCAATCTGTCGGGTCGGGTATATTGCTGGTGCCCCTCGGCAGCACAGTCATTCTTGGTTACGGGTCCCGCGGGACTCATGGACGTATTTTACTCTCTCACGTCTCTGGGACCGTACCCACCCCATGCATGGCCTGTGTTAACAGAGAGCAAGACAATTCTTCTATATTCTGGCTCCTGCATCTGTGGGCCACTTGCGCATGCCCGAGCGTCACCAAGTTGGCTGCCTGGTGTTGAAGAGCGGCCGACGCGTAAAGGCTGACAGCCTCACCGCCATCTGTGAGCCGGTCGTCTAGAAAATGTGGGAGCCTCGACGTCTCACTGCCCTGTTGCAGGGTCAGAGTGAAGGGATGCGCTCCCAGTTATCCTGGCTGTCTCCATTCGCGAATGTACTTAGAGGCGGCGTGCTAATTATACAAGGCAGTGTCAAATTGGTTTCACCTTCAGCGCACTGACAGTCTGCCCCACTGCCCTGTTGCTGTGCGACGTGATGGCCCGAAGTACAGACGGTACAGACTGCCTGTCGGCAATGCAGTGAGGCTCAGGATGTGAGCTGGCTCACCGAGCCAGACGGCCGGGGCTCGAGTTGCGATATGACATGTTCTCCCACTCTCATGACTATACCGACTGTGCGGTTCAGCACCCCCCCCCTGCCACAGCTACAACGCTAGCTGATAGGAAGGCGTGGAACTTTAGCTTCATTTCCCAATTCGCTCAGTCGGTATACGTGTTGTACCGCCGAGGAGTCGAGGTTCGAATCCCTGATGGGGCGCGAGATTTTTCTGCTGTGCACAGGGTGCAAATAGACTCTGGGGCCCACAGTGGGTACCGGGGCTGCTTTTCTGGGGTGAAGGCCGGCAGACGCCTGAAGCTGACGACACCTCCACGTAGTCTCGATTTTAAGAATTGTGGAGCTGTACCTCCACTCCCCCATATTTCCCTTACCTGTAGCCCTCTTACTGGGAGAGCACTGGGCCACCGCAGACGGCCAGCCGTTCCATAAGCTCGATGAATCCTCAGTATTTCCACCTTCAAGACGGTCTTCTTAGTCATGGCACGGTGTAGTCTGGTACCTGGGTTTCAGTGTTATCTCCAGTTGCCTCTGCCATTAAGGAAAAAGTGCTGTGTTCCTCTCCAAATTCATGTTATCATTACGAGACCACACGGTGTCACATGGAACCAACGTGAATATCTTATCTTCGCTTCGGTGTCCGTGTGTGTGGTTACCAGACGCACCAACTGCTTTAAAAGCGGTAACAAATAGACGTGAGATGTTGAGTTGCACTGCATGCTACACATGCAGCCCAACTACTCCTCCGCTTCCTCCAGCTTTATCTTCCTCGCTGGTCGTGGCTTGATTCGAAGCACTATCCTTGCAGCTCCGCAGAGCGACTGAAGAAGACCACGGAAATCCTCACTCAGGACAATTAGTGTATGAGACGAGATCTGAAGCCGAGACCTCCAGAATATGATACAGGAGCGCTACCCCTTCGAAAGCGACGTGTGAACATAGTGCAAGTGGATATCTAACAGAAACTGCAACCTGTGGCTCGCGAGACTCTGTTTTATCTGTAACATGTATGTCCGAAAAAACAAAGTAAAGGTAAAATGTAAAGCTGTCCCTGTGCTCACTGAATTAAGAACTACAACATGAAGGCGTATGGGGGATTGGTTGTATAGATCCATATTTTTTTACCTCGACACTCCTGGAGTTTGTGTGGTTAGCTTCACGCCCCTACCGCTGTACCTTCGGGGAAAGAACCCCCGGTACCCAGTGGATAGGAGGTTGAATGGACCCCAGAGCCTTTCTGAAAGACGTGAAGAAGAGAATATTCTTGACCCTACCGGGACTCGAACTCCGAACCCTCATTTGCTATACGGACTACTCTAACCCGGCTCCCCAAGAGCAAAATAACCAAGGTTAAAGAGGGCCTTCAACGAACATACATATTGAAAATTGGAGCCCCATGTGAGAACATTCGTGAGCTCCGGTGCCGCAGAGACAAGTGGACTGGATGGCGCCGGTGTTTGGTCACGTGCTTCCCACGCCGCGGGGTTGTACAAAGAGGAAATTCTGGAAAGACCGGAACCGCATAGATAACGACAAAATTAGGGGGGCCATCAGATTGCCATTTGTCTCATGAACCTCCCGTTTCTTCGAAACAAGGGAAGGGGCGGAAGAGGTACGCGCTAATGTCGCGAGGTGCAGTTCCTCTGCATGTAATTTAGGTCATCTGAACTACTTATCACACGGTATCAGTGTCACACTCGACGTCTGCAAACAGACACGGATTGCGTCACTGATACCGTGTATGATTAACACTGCGCCAGCTCACGCAGCCTTGGGAACTGCTTGCTTCGCGGTGTTTCATCTCGGCCCTCGGAAGCATGAAGATACGCTTTATTTTTGGGCAGGGGACAGAACATCAAGTAACTAGAAGTTTCCCAGGCTTCGCCCTCTCGTCCTTCTGGTAAGGTCAGTGCGAAAGTGAACACGTTACTATGTTTATGAGCAGTGGCTTGAGTCAAGGGCCTCCGCGTTTTGATTTGTACCTCCCTGAGCGATGACCATGGACAGTACTGTATTTTGGATTGTGACGCCGTATATCCGGTAGAAGCTTTCTTCTTGGTTTGCTTACTCTTTAACCCTGAACATGGAGGCTATGCGTTCCTCCGAAACGTCGGTGAACTTTTACCGGATCACACAGTATGACAGCCCACATATATAGTCTAATAGCAGTACACTGGTGTGTCCATAGCCAAAGTCACATTGCGACTGACGGTCAGTCAGTAAGTCTTGATGTCGAACCCCATCTGTGGCACATGACCAGATATATTTACCGTTTGACAGTTTCTGTAAACGCTACGTCTCCACTACAAAGCCCAACCGGTTAATGCTGTTTAGAGAAACAGTCGCTGTTTATTGTGGGAACCACACGGAACACACAGACACACTCTGTGGA